ATGGGTTTCGTTAAAAAAGTGTGAGAAGGTATTTCTTATAAGTTTCTCTTAATTTAGCAATTAAGAATAACTTGATGTTTCAACAACTTTTAACCTGTTTACAATGCCACTTACACGTCATTAAAGATAGCACAACCAAAGACCTTTAAGCATGAATTAGCTAAATGTGCTCGGAAAGATAGATTTTGGGATCATTGCGACACTCACTAAACCCCTAAAAGAAATTTATATATATATATATGCAAGAAAAAAAAAACAACTTCCGATTGATACTACTTGTCGGCCTTTTGAATTAGGAGTAGAGGGATATCTCTAGTTTCCTGTTTAGGATTGGGTTTACGGTTCCTTCTAAATTCTTCATCTTCTCTATACATCTCACGACTACGACTAAACTCTGAAATTTATAGTATTATTGCATTCCCAGGTACTTCTAAATTCTTTTTCTTCTCCTTCACTTCCAGTAGCTCCTTGCCTCTTAGCGGCGTTAAAATTATAATAATAATAATAATAATAATAATAAAATTACCTTGTCAGACATCTTTAACGAAACATATATTAAAGAAAGACTACAGGTCTAATGCAGAGCTAATATTCATACAGATATTCCTCCCTTTCTCTATTGTTCATTACGCATGTCTCGCTTTATAATGACTATGATTTTCAGTTCTTCCTACACTAGACAAGTGAGCCAAATGTAATGAAAATACTGCCTGCAGTATTTGCTCACTGCTCACATGTCTGTCCATACGATCGACCGAGACTGTTCCTAAAAGAAGAAGGCTTAAATAACAATTGATAAGATGCTATTCAGAATTTATCATAGAACATGTTACCTTTAATTCTACTTTATCCAACAAGTTATAGTCTTGCCAAAATTATAAAAATAAAACGTATAAATAAATATATGATGAAAAGCTCAATCTCACCATCCCCAGAACTCGATCCCTGACTCTTTTTGCCCGTGGTAATCTCTCAGTGTCAGTTTGCGTGCTGAGAATTTAAGCTGGTCGAGATAAAATGGGCGGACTTGTGATATGCGTGCACTGACTGATCAACTTGTAGCACCACATCGGGGAACTGCAAAGTGTCAAGTCGCCCTGGTTTCCTATCAACTTCGTCCTTGTTTTCTCTTTGTCCCTCTCTTTCTCTATACATTCATCATTTTCTTTTTGTCTTTCTCTAACGCTCCCTGTTATCAAAGTACGAGTAGTAAGCAATATTTTCATCTTCTTCCTTTGATAACACAAAAGCTACGCAATTATCGCCTTTTGTTATTCCCCTGAATCTCGCAATTGCTTACTACCCTCGAAATGTTCGTACAATTTTAAAGGCTAGATTATCGATGAGGATGATACTTGCAGAGAAGCACGGGGATGAGAGTGTTTTACTGAAGTTACTCTTTAATAATATTATCAAAATAGTGTAAAATGTTAAAATAAAATGTCGGATATGACGAGAAATGAGAACCGATGTCATCTTACAGGGTTACAAACAAATATCCATACAACTGAGTATATATATAAATATATATATATATATATATATATATATATATATATATATATATATATATATATATATTGCCATCTACAGATAGACTCGTTGGCTGTATCACAGCACATCAGTGCAGCCATACGTCCGTTGTGCCTTTAGCTAAGATCGAAGCCCGACTGAATTGGCGTCAGTTGGAGATTCTACCACTAACCGCACGGCAAGGATGAAGGCAAATTTAGGCGTATTTATCTTTAGATAAACACACAGTGACTGAGATGTATCAATTCGCTTTACCGAAGAGTCTTGCTATATTAGCCGTAATAGTCATTGTTTACACACCCACACTTCCTACCCCAGAAAGCTCAACCAAAATAATTTTTGTCAGGAGCATATATATATATATATATATATATATATATATATATATATATATATATATATATATATATATGGATATTGATATTGATGTCACAACCCAGGCGTGACATTCTTATACACTATATATATATATATATATATATATATATATATATATATATATATGTGTGTGTGTGTGTGTGTGTGTGTGTGTGTGTGTGTGTGTGTGTTGGGGTGGGGTGGGGTTAAGAATAAAATTCCATAATTTATGCCAAACGAATCAACTAATACAAGACAGCGTATCTGCATTCCTACTGGATGTCACTATACAGACGAGAAAAGTGAGAGTGGTGGCTTCCAACGACAGAGTCATAATGAAAATGTAACTATAAACCAACGTGCTCTATTAAGGACTCAAAATAAACCATTCCTAAAGAGAAACAGAAATCTGAAATTGGAATAAAAGAACTGATGTCACATACCATGAATACATTATAAAGAGTTAGGATACAAAATTAGTAAATACCAAAATTATCACCAACATTATTGTTATTATTGTATATATATACAGAATATGAGCAAATTAAAAATATAATCGAATTCACTATAGACAGCGTCGCCACATCCCGTAAATTGCGACTAAAATAAAGCATTAACCTGAAAAATAGTTAAGATTTTATACAGGATCATAAGATAGAGATATTTATATGGATGTCATACATGGCGCGAAAAATGCTCACAATTATCTAAACTGCCAGCTGCATCCAAACGATTTTCTAAAATCAATGGTTAAAAATGACTTTGAATGATTGATGCCTATGGATCTTGGTGAAGTCCACAGTTCTTCGAACATTGTGAACTGGCTTTCCAAAATCACAAAGACATCTACCAGATAACAGAAACCACATCACTAAAGAACCTTCTACAACAGCAAGAACTATGTAACCTGAAGAGAAAATAGTAAAATAATTAATATATTGACGTTCCACACTAATTCAAATAAATGTTTAGACTGGAAAGCGCCAAAACAACTATTCCTTATAAGTAAATGGGTATATATATATATATATATATATATATATATATATATATATATATATATATATATATATATGTTAAGAAATGGACAAGGTCCGACAATTTATTTATTAAAGACACTTTTATTTATTTAACGTTGTTTATTTATAGATACAAGTATTTAAGCAAATGCTCTGTTTATGATAAACAGAATTAAATAACATTTAACGAATATTTTGTCAAAGAAATTTTCGACATTCAGGTTCGGTAAATGTTATTTAATACTGTTTATCAAAACAGAGCATTTGCTTAAATACTTGTATCTATAAATAACAACGTTAAACATAAAAAAAGTGTCTTTAATAAATATATATATATATATATATATATATATATATATATATATTTTTTTATTGTTAATTAACTGATTTAAAATATATTTCTCGCTACACAGTAATAACCAAGTTTCAAAAACTAAAGATATCGTGTTATATTTATGGAATAAAGTGCCCAATATCAGGTGTAGAGCGTATGTAAATATAAAAGTGGAAATTAAAGTCAAAACTCAGAGGCGACAGACTGTTTCATGCTAAACGCAATCATCAAGGTCTCCTGAAACACACATACACACACACGTGCACACTCCCTCACACACACACACACACACATACACGCATACACACACACACACACACACATATATATATATATATATATATATATATATATATATATATATTGTGCATTTGAGTAGCAATCCCGCTTCTAAACATGTTTTATAAAGACGACTAGCAGGGAATTGCCGTTCTAGACAAAAGTTGTGTAAAAATGTCTAAATCATATATATAGTCAAGCGTTTCCGACACTTCTGTTACCCATTATCAAAGATATATATATATTTTTAACTGAATATGTAGAGTTTTCGATATGTGCATCTATAGTGATGAAAATGCATTTTATTTATTTTCAAATCACCGTCAGCATGATTTGGCAGTGTTCATACACGATACTATTAATTGTTATTTTTTTTATTTTTATAATGCTTTCATATTCCTTTTCTGTTTAAATAGGTTCTAACAGAGCCATGGTCTGAGAGATGTAACCGAGGTTTCTTGATAAGTATATATTTGTATATCCAATATAAAATTCATGAATTTGCGTTGATATGTCCGACAGTTATTTTAATATATTTTTTGTTTATACATATATATTTTTTTTTATAAATACAAATATATAGTTAAATGATTTGTTTATTATTTACCGGCTTGAATGTCCAAGAAATCGCCTAGAATATATATGTCTTCCGACAGGAAACGAACCTGTATCCTACATAGTTTATATATAAAAAGAAGAGGTTGTAATAGTTCCAACGAGAGAAAAGTGTGTATATTAAAAAGAAGGGAGAAAACGCAAACGTTTTTGGTTGTAATATGGATGTAAAGAACATATATATATTATGCTTCATTTTCCATAATTTTGCTTTATTTTTCCATAATAAAGCATAACATTTTTTTAAAAAATCCACAATACAACCAAAAACGTTTCCGGTTTCTCTCTTCTTTTTACCTTAATCACTCACTCTCTCTCTCTCTCTCTCCCCTCTCTCTCTCTCTCTCTATATATATATATATATATATATATATATATAGATTCATATATATTATATTCATTTGAATTATATATATATATATATATATATATATATATATATATATATATATATATATATATATATATATATTTCTCATAATTATTTTTGTATAGTCTTAACGGAAATATACTTCCGAGTCTTATTTTTTGTTAAACAATTTATATTACATCTCTCGCCGTGCACATAAGAGAAATACTAATAATGAAAATGTGCTCGCCATCAGTAATATGAACTGTGTGCCATGGACATTTTAGGTTGAATATCCTTGCTAAACTAAAAATATTTGCTATGATTGAAACGGAATAAAACAGGTAAAATACCAATAAATCTTCTCTAATCTCTCGGAGTTGAAGTTAACAGTGGTATTCTAAACTCTCTTTAAGAATAATAACGATCTATATCTCACGTTAATCAAATGAAGGAATTCAAATCATGTTTACAAAAAATTCTCTCCTTTGTAGCACATAGTAGAAATTTTAAT